TTAAGTTCATTAAAGATAGTAAACATGGCTAAAAACACACATTGACATTCTCACTGTGATTTATATCATCTTGGCATAGGTCTAGGTGCCCCTACGCATTATAAAACAACGGAACTGGATAATTCATCTCAATACATTTTATTGTGTTATTGGAAAAATCAAAAGCCTCCAATCTATGTACGCTTTAAATTATTAGAGTTTTGAGCAAAATCTGTAATAAGCACCACAGCAATTAAAGTGGACTGCGTAATTTTGAAAAAGAAACTCGTGTGCTCGGTAACAAACTTAACCCACTTGTTACTAGCGTTTGATATACGGATCAACATAAAAATTAAATTATTATAAACAATGAGGGTGGTTTCTGATAACATTGTTTATATTAAAAGATTCCTATGGGGTCCCTTTGTCCATCAGAAGTGTTTTGTTCTACATTGGGTGTCACATTTCAATCGTAAGCGTTTTGTTGTTTTCGTAAATTTTATGATGACTTTTTCAAGGTGAATACAAACATGATAAGTATTTATTCTAAAGTATTTCTTGACGAAATATGAAAGTTTTTAGCCCACTTTTTGTAAATCGATAACACAATTATAAACATTTTTATAGTAACTGTTACTAATTCAACGTTAAACTTAGTGATCCGTATAAGGAACGCTAGTAATATGAGCTGCGGTATTTTGTTGTTTTAGCGCCTGCCTTCGAGGCCTTTTCCTTTAAATGAAATCATTGAAGAATTGGAGAAATATGAAGATGAGTGTATCCCTAACTTAATCACAATTTTCCCGCCGGAAAATCCGGAAAATTGTAATGGTGACTTAACCAAAGAGAACTCTGGTGATGAAAATAAAGTACCAATAAATTTGCCTGGATTACAAATGAGAGCCCACATAGAAATCACTAGAGAATTCTTCATCTAGTGATGATGAAGAAGACTGCATCCCGTTAGCTTAGATAGCCAATTATGCCCTAGACAGGGTCAGTCATGTTTGAAGATATGAAGAAATTATTGTTTGTAAATGAGATGATTTAGTGTGGTTACAGTTGCTTCAAATGCATTGAAAAATTGCGCCAACTGTCAAAACCAAGAGATTTTCTCCGCCACATAAACAGAGGAGAAGTATTTTCACATCTCAAATTCAGTCATATAACACACATTTTTTTATGAAACTCACGCTTTGATACAAACACAATATTTTATGCAAGAAATATAAAATTACCCTTTATCCCAGAAAATGTTTTGGGCATAATTATACAGTTCACACTGCTGGAATTAAATTTGAAAAATAATCAATTTAACTCTGAATATTATTTTATTAATGAATATTCCATATTTTATGCAAATACTTTAATAACTTACGTAAGTCGCAAAGAGTAGGTATTATCTCTAAGTTCATACAAATGGCCGTACATATTACTAGCGTTCCGTATATCAAACACCATTTTCCAGCGTTTCCGTAAGACCAATATTTTTTTTTGTATTTTTCCTGTTGCCTTGATGCATTAAATAGCCGATATATGCAAAATCACAGGAATCGTAAGAAAAAAGGGATATCCGTAACAACTGGGTTAAAGCCGCATTGACACAGACGAGCCGCTAGTAAAAAACAAATCAAAGGCCCATCAAAGTAAAAGTCTATGGCGAATTTTCGACCGATTACGCCAGTCAAAACAATGGTTGCACCTGCATGAGATAACGGGGTGAACGTAACGCGAGGCGCGACGAATCCAGGGCCGTAGTTGGAGTTCAATTCAAGATAGAGTAGCGGCTTTAAAGCCGTCGTACTCGTCGAGTAATTTATTTAATGAGGTGTCGCGTAGCTAAAAATGAATTTAATGTAGATCCAAGATTCAAATTCACATATATTTTTTTTTATGTGACAGGAGACAAACGAGCAGGCGGATCACCTGATGGTAAGTGATTACTGTTGCCCATAGACACCCGCAGACCCAGAGGCGTTACAGGTGCGTTGCCGGCCTTTAAGGTGAAGATAGGCTCTTCTTGAAAGCTTGCAGGTCGTATCCATCCGGAAACACCGCAGACGACAGTCCATTCCACAGTTTGGTTGTACGGGACAGGAATTCAATCAATTTGTGAAGTATCACAAGCTTTACCTGTACCTTAGTCAAAATATTTGGTCTGGTCGTTTCTCTATCGTCAAAAAGGTGGAAGGTGAAAAAATTAATCACCATTCATTACTAATTCTTGTAGTAATGAAATTGCCAAGCCACATATTTTGAATACAATGCCAAATACTTTAAAGGTAGGGCATTGGCCCATATTGTGCCACCCTAGCTACGGCCCTGGATGCGACGATCGACTCGTGCGCAATTGCGCAACACGCGAATGGGATGATCTACTCGAGAGTCGATGAAAATGGAAGTGTTTTGTGTATTTTGTAGAGTATCCGCTAGATTTAGTTTTCAAATGCGAAATTTTTGTTTGTGGATTGCGAAATAAAGTAGCTAGTAACAAAATTTGTCAGATAAGTTTGACATTATTGTTTACATATTTACACAGTGTCTGAATTACAATACGTTTAGAGTTTTGGCTGACAACCAGAACCTCCTGTCAATACTACTAAGCAATAGGAAAAGGTCCTTTTATAACAATAATAAAAATTATAGCTTTTATATTTAAATCTAAAGACCTTGAAATATTAAAATGTGCTCAACATGCATGGGTAATAAATTAATGCTGTCACATTAAAAATGTTTGAATTATTTTTAAGGCAGTGTTAATGTGTATTTTTGTTTTTATTGCATGTGTGGGAATTTTCATGAAGGACCTTAAGATTTAGAAGATACTAAAGAAAAAACTAAGCTTTGATATTAAGCCTTCATAATAATTAGATGATGAGTCATAATGAACAAGTTTGTTGTAAATGTTATTTTATTTAGCGAAACGACCCAGCCACATTTCGAGTAAGGTGTAAAATGACCTTAGGGCATAATATAGAGTTAGGGCGTATAGAACTAGAAGATTGGCTCTACATAAGATTTGATAACTTTTTATCACTTTGAGTCATATTATGGTCTCATCTTTACAACATTTTACATACACATATAAATAATAAATAAATAAATATCCTTGGACATTTTACACTGCGCTTCTAGTCCCAAACTAAGCAAAGCTTGTACTATGGGTACTAGACAACGGATGTAAACGGATATATTCTACTAGTGGGATTTTATTTTCATGATGTTATAGCATAATTTAGCACTCTATATTTGGGACTGCAACAAGGAAAAGGATCTTGTAGAAGCTTAAGAACATAAATATTTTTTACAAGTGGTTTCCTGTTTTAAATGGCAATAATTAAAAGTATAATGATGATTAAATAGCCTCTTTATCACTAATATTCTCATAACTCAAACAAGTGAGTCAATGTAATCCGTTTAAGCAATTTAAAGTTGAAAAAACGTTACGTTATCTTGTTTTAAGTTGCCTCTATGACTGCCTACTTGATTCTTATTACGAAATTAATTAAAAAATTACACAATAAAATGCCCATAAATACACGTCTAAATAAATGAGTGAGTTACTGATTTTCATACACAATTTAATCGGTTATGTAAATGGCATTTAGTTCATTCAGTGTGTCTTAATAACTAACAAATGAACAATATTTATTGTTGACGTTAATGAAATGACACATTTCACTGTATCATTACTTCTGTTTGAGCCAATAAAAGCGGTCAGAACATTTTAACAAAACCTGTAACTTAAAAGTTCACGTTTTCGAAACCAAAAAACTTGTAACGGACTTAAACATATAAATCTGGTCCAAAATGTTTTTTTAAATGTCGCAGTGGTCGGCAGGGCCTTGACTACAATTCCGGCCACCTTTCAAATCGTTGGGCAACGATTGGGAATAGCTCTATTTACAACAATTAATATCGAAAGGATATAATTAGTTTTGTAATTCGCGTTATATACCAAGGTATTATGTTCTACTTTACTCGTAGAGTAGCTTGGACGAAGAATATTCAGACAAATGAAGACTCAAACTTTCGTTTACTCTTCATCAGTTTATGTAATTGGTGTGTTATTTTAATATACTGTCACAATCCTAATTTGAATATTAGGATACTACTCGGTAACTGCAGAAATGTTGAAACAATATAAATAAAAAATGTATGGATCCACGATAAGCACATGTCATACCTAAACAATGACATTAATAACATTAAATACGACAATTGTTAATAAATAAATCCGTAATTAAAAACCGATTGGTAAATAATAAATTAATTTCAAAACTAACCGTTGAAAATCCAACTCGAACTCTAAAATTAACAACAAGCGGAAATGTAAGGCTGTCAATTATTTCAATTAGCAATCCTACTTACATATTTGATATAAATCATCATTTAACTTATTATCGAACGTTAGTAGCGTTTCCTTTCGTAAAATATAAGTGTTTTATTTACAAAAATATAAATTCTGACTCTATATCCAAGGCTAATCCTTATCTGGCAATAATGAATTATGTATTTCTAGTATGTCTAGTCTTAGAAACCAGATTGTCAAGTTTTGGTTTTGGTATTACATAAAGATAATTACCAAATGCGATACATAATGCGAGATTTTGGTGATACAATAACCCGTTGTGGCGGTTAAATTATTACGAAAACTTAAAAAAAGCAAGTTCTTTGATAGGTAATAAATCATTATATGAGCTTTGTATGTTTTTGATATGACCTTAACAATTTGTCATGTGGAACGACGCAAGCAAATAGGGCAAAACTTTTAAATATTTTGATTTATAAAGTGCAATTTGAAGTGACTTAGAAAACCCCAGCTGATAGATATAACTCACACCTTTAGCCTTTAAATCTACTATGAAAAGACATGTTTGATATGTTCAATGATATTACTACAATCATTGCTTCTAATCAATTGTTATCAATCCATTCAAGATCCACCAATCCAATACATTTTCTTAAACATATCTTAACTTATACTAAACTCTATCTACACTAAGAAAACTGTATCTTACCGAAAGCAACGCAAGCGGCGAACGACAATAAACTTGCACTATACATTATAGAGTCGCGACGTGTGCGCGTGGTAGACTTGCCGGCAGCACTGGGGTTCGACTCGACGGCTCACGCAGCGGCCGTAGCGACCCGTATGTATAACGCTGGTCTGCTTTTGTACCAGGTAGATCGACAGTAAACGATATACTTGGACAGTTTAAAAGGAATGTAGTCCCAAACTAAGTTTGTACCATAGTTTATGCCTGTTAAAGGTATTATTTTTAAACATCCAAGTTTTGTCATACTCAGATATCAAACTCGCTACTTCTAACAAGTTAATAAATAAATACTTATTTATTTTCCCAAAAAGAAAGGAGATACCTACATTATTCTTGACGAAATAACAATGTAAGCTATATGCACTAGATAATAACCTATTTAAATTATTTGCCAATGAGACCCAAACTAAGCAGTGTAGCTTGTATCTTGAGTTTCAGTTGAGTTCTTATTCACTGCTTCAAATCTATAGATTGGGAATTATACTATTTGCTGATTTCTTTTTGGATCCTACAGTTGGGCAGTTTAGTTTTTACTGAAAACTATCTCAACCATTGCTCCGATCACTTTATCGTTGTTTTTGGCGTCACCGAAAGCCAGGTCTTTAGTACAATCTTTAGGGCTAAGTTGTCATGTTTAGTGTACATTTTGACAAATTGTTTCTGCATGTTTTTGTTAACCATTACTGTACTTTTATTTTTTTGCTATGAATTGTTTTGCTTTGCATTAAATAAGGAAACCTAATTGAAAGGATCTAAGTGATTATATTTGCAGCTCCAAATATATTATATTGTCATGCATAAAAATACGTCTGCCTTATGAATATCGCAAAGGTATCGAGTTCAAGCCTGCGACGTATTACGAAAATGGCCATATACTTACTCGACGTGATTTGTATGACAATTGTCATTTGGTCACAAACCAGAATAGAAAGGACACGTCTAAAGTCAATGCACATAAAACCTTGGATACACAAGGAACAATTGGAGAGCAATGTTTCGGAACATGTAGCTTAATTTCGGAACATGTAGCTTAATTTCGGAACATGTAGCTTAATTTTTTTAAGGATTACTTGTAATTTGTGGACGGACTAATTACTCCTTCTAATCTCTCCAACTAATTCTCATATTAGGACTAGGATTCACTACAATATTTCAGGAATTAATAGAGATCACATTAGTTTACCCTTTAATTAGTCCTCAGACAGACACTGAAACTGTTTTACTATTGTCACCTTAAATCACCTTGAGCTTGACCTACGAGTATTGGAACCCCATTGTTCATAATAGTGCTCTTGATTTGAGCATTTTAACATTAATTGAATACATACATAAAGGCATAATTTTCCTTTGTGTCAACGTTTTCTATGTCTTTAATATACAATCATACAATCCATTGGCCTTAAGATGTCAGTGGGCCTGTAACGCATGTGACATTTTAATTTAAAACAATCTCTATTATGATCTCTACCGCAGATATACGATTATCTCGCTAGCATGTTACTCTATCGAATTAGTAGACTATTTGACACTAAGCTGATCGATAGCATGGTAATCGAGTGAGCATAAATCACATTGACGTTTGACATAACTGGTTTGGATTTCCTATAATTTTGCGCGTCAAGGGTACATGCATGAGTTTGGAATATGAATGTTAGTGAATTACTCTACGTGTTAACATGCTTATGCACTAATCCCATTTTTTTGATAATGGGTATTACAAGCATCAAAACACAATTATTCATGTTGATGCTAATGTCACACTTATTCGATGCTAGCGTAAGTTGTGGAACACGAACTCGCGTGACGATAAGTTAGATGCGTGCGCTTAAATTGTCACCCGTAAACTCTTGCAACGCCTTATTTATTAAAGACTAGGACAGACGTATCTATAGCCCTTAATAGGAAAAATTCAATGAAAAAAGAACATTCAGTTTTTCCGAATTTTGAAATTTTAGGGTAGGTATATTTTACAGTTTTTCTTTTCATACAAACCCTTAGCAATTACGAACACAAAAAAGGTTCATATCTAGGTCTAGGTCTAGTCGTACTTGGATTTAAGCGAACTTAAATAAATGATTTGTGCAGGAAACAGCTGTTTAATGATCTGTAGAAATCATCAATAAAGGTTTAACAGAACTTGTCTGTGAAAAATTACTAATAAAAGAAGCTAGTTTATTTTTTCTTATTAATTATTAGATATCTAGGCTTAATTTAATCTATCATGTCTAATTTATGAGAAGTTTTTATGAAACAAAATCATAATGAGAGCTAATTAATATAAGTTTTAAGTAAACTTTATGTTTTGTTTGTAAACATATCTTAATTTAATTGAGTTAGGCCTTTTTGCGTGTAAATAAATCAAATGAAGTTTTTGCTCATTAACTAGATTTTAATTAGAATAAGTAAAACGCACTATGTCTAGGCTCATTAAGATAATGAGAGATGTTTTACATTCTTGTATCTTTTTTGTTATATATATTTATTATTATTCTGTGTAATGGCTTCAATAGTGCATATTTGAAGCACACTGGTTTCGCCAATGTCGAGTGTTTAAAGAAACACGGGGGACTTTTTTTTGTTATATCCTGTTTTATTTTCACAAAGAAGTTTATGTCAAACTGTCTACCTATCTGTAGTCGCGTAAATCGTGTATCAATTTTGGCTGTAACTTTGTAAGTGCTTAGTAATCTTGATACTAACTTAGTAATAAATAAAGATATGGTCAAATTGTAAAATCAAAGCAGCCGCCGTATTGCGCTTTTAGCCACGAGCTTACAAACCCAAAGCTGTCGTTATCTAGTATCAGTCACTTGCGTTATGCACTGTTGTAAAACCGCATTGGACGTGCAGCTACGAAAAATGGATAAGGCAACGAAATAAAAACCAATGATAACTTGTTTACTGATAGAAGTTAGGGAGCGCTAAAGCTCTCGCTTTTTATCCACCTTATCCTATTGGAGCCTTTTATCTTCTTAAGGGCATCGACAGATTACATTTTTGTTATTTTGTATAGATGAGAATCGGCTCATGAAAAAACAGAAAGCAGCAATACGAGTATAATGCTTTTTTGGTCGTAGCCATCAAAAACATTATTTTTCAATCTTCCTATTAAACGTAGGACTCCCTATGAACTTTATTCTTATAAAACCTCTGTTTTTCGAAGTCTGAAAAATTTACAATAAAATGTTGTTGCCAAGACGTATTTAATAATCAGAACAAGACGTCTCACTCATTTGCTTGATGTGTTATTTCTGTATATTATTATGTTGAAGTACACAAGAAAATTTAATGTTCAACAAACTAAAATCGACGTCGAACCGCAGACAGCAAACAAGTGTCACTGCACTTTCTAACAAGGAGGAAAAGTGATAGTAAAATGGTTTTTACGTGATCAAGATGAAACATTGTAAATTAGTTGGTGATATCTTGATGAAATGATCGGAAGAAAACTTTTTCTCTTTTCCCTTACAATTTTCAATTGTGTACTTCCTACTAAATACATACAAAGGTACCTAATAGAGATACTACTTAATAATTCAGATACCGAGGTTAAAGCATCTTCTTTATTAGAGTAGTATTCAACCTCAGATCTCTATAAATAATAATAATCTCACATTACTCATAATCGAAGGCTATTATATGTGTTCCTACAAGCTGTGCATACATCTATCAAATCAAGATACAGCCTGTCAAAATACAGGGTGGTACCGACAGTGATTGACAATCGAACAAAGTAAGTACTGGCGCGTCACATATTTAATTTTGTTCTCATTGTACGCACAAACTAGTTAGTCCAGCTTTCTTACATCAACGAGAGCGGGTCTGGCGTTGCGCAAGTATTACAATTAAGTATACAGTCTACACACTATACATTTCTGTTGTAAAATAGCACCTTTTGCAACGGCTTAAGAGACTATAGTTTAGCTTGATACGCTGTCGTCTGTACATAATTGGACCGCAATCCGATTGTGACCTATACTCGGTCCTGTCGGTTACTCGCTTCAATGAGGTTTTGTTCATAACGTATCGAAAAAGTTAATCAGGAGCTGGGTCGCTTTTTTTAGACCCATTGGCGCCTTTGTTTTGTTATCAGTGAATGAATCAGAAGATGTAATTTTCGGTAGGTCTTGTATCGATGTCATGATAAGCAGATGATTGATGTAGTTTGCTGAATTGACTTAATAAATACTTAATGCGTAAAGAAATATTCTAATACTTAATTATGTATGGTTAGTACTAGATTAGTGGTTGCCCTCTTTTTCGTATCCCGTGGAAGTACGTTTAATACCGAATTATACGCTTTTTAATTGTGAGTTACGTTCCTATTTCATTATTTCTTTTATCTATTAATTCGTTAATTAAAAATAGGTACAAGAGTTATGTAGTACCTATACCTATATTATGTTCCTTACATAAAATAAATATTGCCAAATAGGCACACGTAAGTACGTAATGTGTAAGGAAATTAAAACAAGATCAACTTTCTACTACAAAATTAACCAAAAACTTACTTAAATGGCTGATGTAAGTAACACAAGACTTGCATTATTTGATTAACGTGCATTGTAATTTAATGAAATTATATGGTTATTGAACTTAATTAAATACCAATTTACATTTTATATTTTTTTTATGTTTATTTCACACTGCTAATGAAGTAATGGCAGTCGGTAGTAGTAAGTATTAGTAGTGCAATGATATTAGAACTACTCGTACATCCAGAAAGAATATTCATAGCTGCGCTCTAATAGGCGAATATTCGTAATTTTACGTTGGGTGTACGTTTGTTTTTAAATTGTTCTAATAAATGTTTAAATGTTAGGTGTGTGTACTAATTATTGATTGTTTTGAAAAGATACTCTTCATAAAGATGAAGATTTATTTCTAAAGAAATAGGAAAAGGTTTTAAAAGTAATTTTATTTAAATTTCCAGGTGTCATTTACGCAATTAAAAAAGCTACTATACTCTCTATCTAGTATTTGGCGAAATAAGTTAAGTATTGGGTAGGATAATAAAGAAAGACGATTAAAATAATAATTATTTTACATTTTATTACATAAAATATAGTCTAGTTC